AGGGCCCTAAGCAAGTGACAAAGAATTGGAAACGCTCTAGACCAATGTAGGGGGCCCATGAGTCGCAAGTGTGACGGTAGGCTAACCGAAACCCACGTAAAGGGCCCCTGAGCAACCGAGAATACCCCGGCTATAGCTCACAGAGCCTTTCTAGCGAACGGAAAGAACCCGTGGAATGGCCCGTGATTGACAAGAGTGCCCCGGCACGCCAACAGGAAGGGCCCAACAACAACGCAGGGCCCTCCGAGCAAATGCAAAGAAATGAAGGGCAACGTGGAATGCTCCTTAACAATCGGAGCCATCGTGCGAGTGGGCCTATAGGTCCTCGGAAACAGCATGGGGCCCTTAGACAATGTAATGGGGCTTTAAGTCTCCAGTTCACGACTTTTCCAATCATTAAATAATTTTTTGAACTTCTCAAAGGTCCTTCACTTCACCTACAACTGTGTTTGGTCGCATGGAAGTCCAGAGATACACAGTTCCTTTTGAGGGCCAAGAGAGGGCCAAGGCCCCGTGCCCCCCCCCCCCCCTGGATCCGCCCCTGTTCCTGTCGCTAAATGACACCACAAAAGCATCCTTGACTCTTGCCGCTATATCCCTCTTTTGTTAACAGATGACACAGTTAACATGGCATCCCACCCATGATCACGGGATGCACACAGTGGAGCATGCTTGCTATAAATTACCTGGACGCCTCGTGTCCGGCCTGGACGCGGTCGCGCCCCAGGGCTCACCGGCGGACTGGGCACATGCGCGCCGGGCGGCGCCGCGGCCCGAGACGTGGCGGGCGGCACGGTCTCGACGGGGAGCGCTGTGCACGCGGGGTAGGCGGCCTCTCCCGCCCCGCCGCTGCTCCCGGGGCCTCATATGCCGGGGTACGTTCGGCTGCTCAGGGGCCCTTCATATTGGTATCGGGTTCTTTCCACTTGCTTGGGGAACCCCGTGCTATTGCTGGGGCCCATATAAGATAATGCACCGAGGCACTCGATGCTCAAGGGCCCCTTCATTGGTCTATGCCTCTTTCCCTTTTGAGCTTATTTGCTGAGGACCCTTTGCTTGTCCTTTGCTCTGTTGACTTGCCTGGGCACTCTTGATCACACAGGGGCATTATTTTATGTACACTTATGCTGGGTTATTTCCCTTATCTCAGAGGGTCATGTGCTCTGTCCGGACCTTATATGTTAGCCTGCCAGGGTACTTCTGATCGTTTGGGAGTCTCACCATATGGTGTTGGGTTCTTCTCGCTTGCTATGAGGACCTTTCGTGACGTAGTTAACGAACTACGTCAGCTGACTACGGAACTACGTCGTTCGACGGGGACCTAAATCTTGATAATTTGTATTCGGGCTCTACGTGTTACTGACTGGTGACTGAATTTGTGCCTATGCCGATTGCGCTGATGAACTTGTACTTGTGATCGTCGAACATAATTTTACGCGCCGCCGACGTCGTGCACAGCATTTCCGTTGTTCAGTGAATTTGTGACAGTTATTGTGCTTTTACATGACGTTTTTCATGCATTTTAAAAGACAGGCTATGTTGTACTCCCTTGCGACAGACAAAGCAAAAGCTCTGCATTAGCCCTCAGCGATCAGCTGATCTCATCAACTACCCGGCTAACCGTATATAAGCTAGGTATCAAGCTTGTGCTTGATTTCGATGGTACTTAGCATTCAATTTACGTGTATGCTTTCATTGTTCTCCGAAATACCTAGCCTCCAAATAACAGGACCCACCATGGTCTGGAGAAATGAACAAGCTCCATGTATTTGCATTCGTAACAAATACATGGAGCTTTTTAGGGCTGCGCACAGTAACCTAGGATCCCGAATGCAAACTGCACACATAAGAATATCAAAACTCAATCACTGGAATACGATTATTTTTGGTCGATGGAGGCTCGAACTCTAGGGAGCTCACAAAGTAAGAGGCCTTTCCAGTTCTCTAGGATTTTCGCGGTGTAGGTGCGTGGAGATGTAGTTACCATGGAGTTTACTGATTCCAGTCACCCCGATATGGTGTCTTGTCTCTCCTGGCCAGTGCTTCTGCTCGAATCGCACGGAACGGTTAATAATGGTGTTATACACACACCACACACACACACCACACACACCACCACACACACACACCACACACACACCACACACACACACACACACACACACACACACCCACACACACACACACACACACACACACACACACACACACACACACACACACACACACACACCCACACACACACACACACACACACACACACACACCACACACACACACACACACACACACCACACACACACACACACACACACACACACACACACCACACACACACACACACACACCCACACACACACACCACACACACACACACACCCACACACACACACACACACACACACACACACACACACACACACACACACACACACACACACACACACACACACACACACACCACACACCACATATATATATATATATATACATATATATATATATATATCTATATATATATATATATATATATATATATATATATATATGTGTGTGTGTGTGTGTGTGTTGTGTGTGTGTGTGTGTGTGTGTGTGGTGTGTGTGTGTGTGTGTGTGTGTGTGTGTACTTTTTGACGACAGACAGACGAAGCTTACAGAACCTGCACAGTCTACGACTGGTGACTGGCTCTCTTATATATTCCGCTCTTTGCTTCATGTCGGCACCTTGAGCACTTAAAAGTAGAGCCTAAGACACGATGGAATGGGTGTAAAACACGGTGGATCATGCAAACAACAATAAACTTTTCATTGGACAACACTCACTGCCGTTTTGGCTTGGCAACAACAGACAATTAGTTAGCCCTGCAGAAGACATCATTAGCCTAACATAATGTGAGTACCGCAATCAACACATCAAATCACAATACTGCATGCTAATCAACCAATCCCTGCGCTATTTATCAGTGTCTTGTTCCTTGTCTGAATGATTTATTTGTGATGCTGCTCCAAAGAGATCATTCAATAGCTTGATCATTCGTCTGCTTAGAAGTCGTTTGCGGTCATGAATGAGTAATGCACACAGAATGTTGAGTTTTCTTGTTACGTGTATAGAAAATGGAATTCCAGTATTTTGTATAAATGTTTGGTGCGTGAGAAAAGTAATGTGGCCGGCCTGTATGTGATTCCTTGGTGCCCCTTCCGTGAGGTGCTCTGTGAGATGTCGGAACAAAAACGTTGCAATTACACCATTGTAGGATATGGAACCTTGCAGCAACACCTGGCAGCGGTCAACAGACGTGCAAAGCTGACCATTCATTGGAACTCGATACTTTCCAACAATTTATAAAATCAATTGGCATGCGTGTAAAAGGCATCCCGGGCCGAATGTTGCACTGGTGCAATTTTCAGATTGGTACTCGGGACGGATAACCACACAGAGCACCACGAATGCAAGGCGCAATGGCGTAATCTCTCTTGTTCGTAATGCTGCAACTGCTAATTCCGTTCAGAGAATCAGCTGGTCAACCAATTGAATTGCATTGGTAACAGCGTTCCGGTCAGCAGCAGCAGCGTTTTTCATTTGGCGGCAGGGCTTCCCGTCTGCCGACCCGCCGACCCGCCACGTTTGTGGATGCCGGTCGGACCGTCGAGCTGGGCAGCCTCTGGGCTCACCTGTGTCCGAGCTCCGCGTCCAACCGATTTCACATTATTATTCCCACATATATGCAGTGGTTGAGCGGAAGCGTTGTCTGCGAATTTGGCGGGAGGCGGTTTGTTTGTCGGACGGGCCGTAATACCGATTGTGGCTTTACGTCTCACCGGCTGCGATTGTGGCTTTACATCTCACCGGCTGCGATTGTGGCTTTACGTCTCACCGGCTGCGATTGTGGCTTTACGTCTCACCGGCTGCAGTTGTGGCATATTATCTATATGCCAATATATTTTAATATATTTCCCCATTTTCTGTAACTTTTGATCTGACCTAAAGTCGTCATATTCTGGAAAAGATGAGTTATGGATTGTGTGTCATCGATTGGTAAAATTTGGTGTTGATCGGTGCGCAGTGATTAAGCGCAGGGCATACCAACAGGTTTTGTCGGTCGTTCAGTCCTTCCCCAGATGAACGTCCGTCAATCTAGCAGCGGAGTAATGTCCAACTGCCAGTTGGATGTTCCGGGGCGTCACGATCGCCTCAAAATTTGGTGTGCAGGACGTTCTCGACACGCTGATTCCGAAAACCACTGACTTTGGGATGCGATTTTACGTAACTTCCGAGTTATAAGGCGCGTAACACCGCCAGATCGACGTTGCGGGGAGTCTCAATTGCCTCCAATTTTGGTGTCCAGGGCCTTCGCAACACGTTGATTACGAAAATCATTGTCTTTGGGATGGGATTTTGTGTAACCTCCGAGTAACAAAGCGCGTAGCATGGCCAGATCGACGTTGCGGGATGTTTTGTTCGCCTGCAGGTGCAGCGCTTTCCCAATACGCTGATACTGAAAATCGTTGTCTTTGGGTTGGGGTTTTGTGATCTTTGGAATCAGCGCGTTGAGAAGACCCTGCGCACTAAATTTGGAGGCAGTCGAGACGCCCCGCAATATCACACTGGCGTCTTACGCGTGGTGTAACTCGGAAGTTATCGCGTGGTGTAATAACGCGTGGCGTAACTCACAAAATCCCACGCCAGAGACAGTGATTTTTGGAATCAGAGATTGATAAGGACCTGCACACAAAATTTGGAGGCAATCGAGACGCCCCGCAAAGTCGATCTGGCGATGTTACGCGCCTTGTAACTCGGAGGTTACGCAAGATACCACACCAAAAACAGTGATTTTCGGAATCAGCGTGTCGATAAGGTCTTGCACACCAAAGGTGGAGGCGATCGTAATGCCTCGGAATATCCAAATGGCAGTTGGATATCAATTTGCTGCTGTATTGACGGACGTCCCTATTGAACGTTCCTTGACTGGTGCTCTGTTATACACCTTTAGCGCCTCTGTTGCAAACTATTGTGCCTCGAACCCAGGGCTATCTAACGAATCCGCAGTTTTCTCAGCGCGGGAAGTCCTCTGCTGAAATCGGCCAGCAGAGTCGCGGGGCTAGCCAAAGAGGTTGGTTTAGCGGGAAATTAACCGTCATGTGCATTCCGTTATTCGCGACGATCAGTCCATCAAGTTTTAAATGTGGAGCGGTGCTCTAATTGAGCGTTTCGATCAGAGTAAAAACGTCGTGACATTAGTTTTACTGCAACCTGTGTAAGTCGGACTTCAAAAAATACATGCCGCACTTAACATACTCGGTGCGGCAGCAATATCTTGGCAACAACTTCATCACATGCAGAATATCGATATGACAGCTTTGAGTGAGGGCACTGCCACCACCAATTTCAGCTCATAGAGCCTGTTTCAAGGAATTTTGGCATGATAGGTGTGATGAAGGGTTTTTACCTTGGCACCTGTGCTGCTGATGGAGAGAAAAGCTTTGTTGACTGCAGGTGATATTATGTATGTCATGTCTGTCACAATTTGTCTAAGCTGGTCTAAGGCCGAATGGCCATTTAACATTGTTCAGCAAATTTAATTCAAAATCCAACACAGTGCTTTGAGTGGCAGAATCCTGAGAAGAGCATTTGATGATGCAATGACATTTTCAATCAGAAAACAGTAAAATGTGTTTTTTTAAGTTGCATGCAGTGATAAAAGATGGCTTTGTGAAAATTGGAACAAACATGCCCATTTCCCTCCCCCCACCCCAACCCTCACCCCCCACCCCCCACCCCATTGTTACACTCATGGTTATGACACATCACCTATTTCACAGTGTGCGTTCCCTGTAAGTTATGGCAAAGCTTGTGAACTAGCTGCTGTATTGTTTCCGTCATTATATTGGTTTTGCTGCATTGCTGGAAGCCCAGGATAAAAGGAGTATCTTTTTTGTGGTGCTTTTCTCTTTCCAGGATCAGTTGATTTCATTTTCAGAGCATCAATCCTCAGGTAGAATTTCTTTGTTGCATAAGTGCATACTGGTGTTCGGGAGTGTTGCTTTAGCGTGCAATATTTATCCATTTGAAATGCCTGTCCACATGGAATGCTATCAGTGCTTTGCCCATCTTGCTCTAAAATGTTACATGAGAAAATGTTTGGAAGTGCTGCACTTATGTTTCTCATGTTTTAAAGCTGTATGTCAGACTCTATTTGTGTTTTTTTACAAATGTATATGTTCAACATTTTTAGTCTGAAATGATGGTACCTTTTTCAGATTGTTGTCATTGAATATTTGTTATGAATATGATGTTCAAATCCAGTCAGTATCACCAGATTTATTGCTGATGAGTATTCATCAATTATACCTGCACATTCTGTTATTTATTTTTGTTGGGCAATATGTACATCATGCATGCCAAGGCACACTCACATGTTATCACAACTTGCTCTAAGCAATATCCAATATGATCTCAGTGAGGCTACCATGCATGGTTTAAAGGAAATATGGTTTTATGCTATCACAGGATGTTGTTGGAGACCTCAGTGTGCAGTCTTAGTACCCCTCCTGGTGACAGACAACATGAGGCCTGGAATCAAATGTTGTTTATGGTAATCCAGACTGGGGGGGGGGGGGGAGGGCATTGGTATGGTGGTTCCACATACAATTTGTTTCCTTTTGTTGCTTGGGAACTAACATCATATTGATAGTTATCCAAAAAACAATCCATGATTTTAGCTGCTGTTGAAGGGGCATTGCAAATAGTGCAATGGGGGCAAATGTTTTTAATGGCTTACCTCACCATGTTACATGATTGTTAGCAAGGTCCTAAAGAGGCCATCAAATGAGGCAGGGATCTCTTAGGCATCTGGCATCATCAGCACTTGAATGCTCCTGTAAAGACCATAAGAACCACAGTGAAGAGAGCTTTGATAAGATGAGGGAACCTCTGCATGGCAAGGGGTAAGGTAGTGGGCTCCTAAGGTGGTTGTTGCCAATGATCCCATGACAACCATGAATACCTTCAAAAGTAAAAGGCATTCCTGTGTGGTCAGCATTGGCTAAAGGGCCTGAAGATACCAAGGGAAGTACCAGAAACCAAGAAGCCTACATGGCCATCTGGGTACTTGTGACAGCTGGGATGCACTAGTGTGTTCATGTGACTACCAGGCCAAGATGGGAAATCAGGGGAGCTGTGGCAGGGGTGTGTGGGATGGTGCCTTAGTTTTAGTTGGTCCCATGACAGCCCAGGACCCGCGACGCTCTGGGAGCCGGTGTGCGAACACGGATAGTCTCAGTTACTCTCGTGACAAACAGACCCCGCATATTGGCATGTTGGGGTCTCCGAACCTGACAACACTTAGCCATCCTTCAGCCCAAAAGTAAATGCCAAACCTGGAGAAGTCCAGGCGCAGCCAAATGCCCAAAGATTCCCCTATCATTGCCAAGGAAAGGTAAGTGATCCTTGTACTGCATGAGAAGACTATCAAAGTTGCAACTCAGTGGCTTTCCATGCTGTCATAAGTCCCTGCTCCATTATCTTGATGATGCATCTGACTCTTGCCCATTCGGATGGCAGTGAGAAGTCGTCGGTTCAGGCCTGACTTTTGCACGCTTTTACTCGACCGGTTGCCGCGCACGAAATGGCAGCAGGTGGAGAGTGATCGCACTGCGCGGGGTCTGCCCTGACCTTATGCATGCCCTTGTGTGTGCATCAGAAGTGCACTTCCCACAAAAAGAGACATGGATTTTTTCTCATGGTTCAGTGGGCAGTCCTTTGGCTGCTGACGACGGTATGTGAACATGTCTAAGGATATTTTTGGGCACACCCTACGGCGCTCCCTCGTCTCATGTCACGCCTGCGCCCCTCCGTTCTCAGCCCAGCGGTCGCGCCACCATGAGCTCCGGTCGTCCGCGTCACCGCGGTCGTCATGGCAACTATGAACGGCGTCATGTGGAGTCGGCTACGCCTCAGGCGGCGTCAGCTGACGCTGCTGAGAGCAGCTCGCCTGTGGTGCAGATGTTCCGCGAGTTCGCCACCCACCTGGACAACAAGCACGACCGCTACGAGCGGCTGGTGAAGAAGAGCAGAGACGTCACCATCGAGAGCAAAAGGATCATTTTCATGCTGCACAGGGTCTCTAAGTGAGTGCAGGTGCCGTGCTGGACGCCCACTTGAGGTGACTGGAATACTGTAGTGCTTCACCAATCGCGCCGTAGCCCGTCGCTGACCCGGCGAGCCGTCCGCCAGGGACGAGCAGAGTGCGGCGCTGCTGGAGGAGGCGGCGCAGCGCTTCCGGCACCTGGAGAACACCGCGCTGCGCGAGATCGCCCAGGAGCTGCGCGGCCAGGACCCGTACATGTTCATCAGGGCCATCAGTCCAGGTAGGAGATCATGGGGGCTGTCGGGCCTGGCACATGCTTGTTTGGGCCGTCGGTTCAGATGCGCCTCAACGTGCGTTGGGGCTGTCAAGTCAGGTATATGTTCCTCAGGCCAATCAGTCTGAGGTGTGTGTGCTATGACCATTAGTCGAGGTGGGTGGTCGTTAGAGCCGTAAGTCCAGCTAGGTGTTGATGACGGCTGGTAGTCCGGGCACGCCGCCGTCCTCATGCCGCCGCCGTGGTCTGTGGAAGATGCTGGACTCGCTGTCCAGCAGCACTGGATGCCGGGCCCAGGCCGCCCATCCTGCACTGGCCGTCGTCATCGCAAGGACGTCGGCGGTGAAGCGATGGACAGTCTCATGGGACAGGCCCAGCTGCTCGCTGATCTCATCGGCGGTGGTTCTTCGGTCTTCTTCCGCGAGGGTCTCCGCCCGGGTGGCGTTATCAGCGGTCATCGACGGAGACTGTCGGGCACATGGAAGGGCTTTGAGGTCCTCCCTTCCGCCATTAAAGAGGCTGTTCCACATTTGTACGGGGTCTTGAATTGAGATAATCATTTTCAAGAAAATTCTCTTCAGTTCACAGTTACGTTCTGCTTGTGATCTCAAATGTTCTTGTTTCCCAGCTAGGCGCCCGTAGACTCGGCCGACTATTTTGCGCTTCGTAATTTGAGCGTATTCAGACGTAAATAATATGACGTCATAGAAACATCACACGTGCTCCCCATCGCAGTGGCCATATTGTGCTCGAGGTCAACAATTAATTTCGCCATCTCAATATCCGTGTCTATAGTACGACAGCATGAGTCGTCTCGCTGGCAGACAGCGGTTGGTTAACAACCATTTTAAGCCGCTAATTGCATGCTTCGATCGTGAACCACGTGTTGTGATACACAACGCAGGTGGTTTTACGAATTTTGGCGGACGTGGGGCTGAGAATCGAATGGCAGAAAAGCGCTGTAACCGATAATGTAAATGCAAGTAGAAAAATATAGCATCACGGAAAAATGCACAACACCATGAGATAACACCAAAAATACACGCACCTTGCTAAGAAGATAAGCTTGAATGCACAGACGCCAACATCATGATGATCAACGCTCGGTATGCGACAATTGAGTGCTGTCCGCTTGTGGCCATTCTGACACGCCTTATCTGGCAGCAACCCGGACGTCATAAACTCGCTTCATGACGTAAGCAAACGATGACGTACTAGGGAGAACATTTGTTATGTTGGGGACGTGTTTTACTTAGAGCAGCCTTTTGCAGTTGAAGCATACCAACAGTTACAAGTTAGCTTTTCCAACATCTTTGATGCTCGCATCCATATTCTCAATTGTCAATTTGAGAAACGGTGCACATACGCACTTGAAACGCCACACATATTTGCAAACTCTGCCTGAACTCGGCGCTGAGGTACTTCAGCTCGCCAGGAATTCCTGGTGAATTTTACTCGCAAGCTTTTCTTGCGCGGGCAGATTCGGTGATTGCGCCCTGTTCTCACTCAGAGAAGTTCATCTCTACCACCTCTTGCAAGTGAGTCTGAAAAGAAGGGCATGATGTAACGCTTGGTGGTGCACGGACCTGTAGCGGTCTAGGTCTATAATTTTGTTCTAAATGCAGCACGTGAAGTGTTATCGAGAGTAGACAAAACAAAAATGACGGTCTTTGCTTTTGAACTGCATCCCGCAAATCCTACGCGCGAAATTTCAGCCAGAATTCACGCGGTTGACTGTGATGACGTTCACAGTGATAGTAACTGCAAGCGTGTGAAGTTTGTTTGAATGACGCTTTGTTACACATGTGACGTCACCAACCAGAGAACTCATGCACACCGCAAATTGTCGATAGTGAATATGCATGCACGCATGCGTACATACATTTACGCATGTATGTATACATGCATGCATTCATACATGCATGTGGATGAGCATGTACAGCTGTGTAAATACATACAAACAAACATAGAAACTTGCGTGCATGCCTGCATTCAAATACGCATGTATAGCTGGCGTTATAGCGGAATGCGCGCCGTGCATTATGTTTTATCTTCTTTTTTACAATTTTGTCAAGTTCCCAAAAAAAATGTTTTGTTGCTCTCGGACCTTGCCAGAAGTATGGCGGTCGTCCTGGAGCTGGGTGATGCTTCGTTTGGCCGGTAATTGCGTGTGTATCATTCTGTAATAGTTCGCAACATTTTCCCGTCTTCGCAACACTTTGTAACCTTTTGCAATAGTTTCCCAAATTCATCTTCAGTAACCATTTTCATTCAATGCCAGAGGAGTCCTTATGTGCCCATGTAGCCTGGCCGTCTTGCAAAGAAAGCTGCACTCAGTAATGTGCTGTACCCCGCGCTCCTTTCAGAACCATATACAAGTGCGAGGCTGGCAAAGTCTTTGTTAGACACATAGGTTGCTCAGTGTTCAGGATGGAGGGTGAGGTTAAGACTAGGAACACAATAACAGGAGCCCGTGGAGTGAGTGTTTTTTGTTTGCCTGCTACACTCACCAGACGTGATTCGGGTTACGGTACGGACATCCTGTCTACTTCCCGGTGTTCAAGTTGTCCTGTCATCAACAAACCAGGAAGCCTAGGTAACCGTGGAATTCACGAATAAGGGCCTCCGGGAGGTACTCTTTGGCTCTGACTGGCACTGAAAGCATCTTAGAACCTGTAAAATTAATGTAATTGCACTATTCAGCTCGTTATTAAGCTACTAAAATAAGGAAACGAAAGTCCAGGCAGAGAATAAACTTGCCCACAGCGTAGACAGGCAGCAGGCTCTTTCTCTGTGAAGTGCGGTCCGAAACAATTCAACCTGTGTGCCTGAAATGCGTACTGAATCTGTTAGCGTACAGACCCGTAATCAGGAAGTCAATTCCGTTTCTGACAATGCCCGCAGAATGTTACAACGATCGTGTTCCTAATGATTCATCGACGGCTCGCTGAGTTTGAAAGTAAATAAATGAACAATGGCATTGTGCTACTCACATGGCTTACCGGGCTTCCAAGCAGGCTATGTGCGTCGCAAACAACAGTGACGTGTCGAATCACAGAGTCAGTCACTTCCGATTCCAGTTTTTCGTGAAGACTCATGGTTGTTTCTAAATGAGCTAATGGTGATGATGAATGTGCTGCCATGCACGCTATTTTTCATCAGCTTTTTATCAAAACAGTGCGCATTGCCAACAAATAACTACATGTCCCATCAAAATGTTCGGCTCCAATTATCGATTAAGATTGTTTCCATTGGCGGAATGTTATAAGAATAGTTCACAATGTGCATCATCTCTCTCACCAAGCATGCATCAAGGAATGTGCACATCGCAAGTAAACAGCTACGTATCGTATCAGATAAGTTCGCCATTTCTTGCCCTACCTTTCCGGAAGCATTTGGCTAGTCATACAAGTACCAATGAATGGGAATGCACGTTTTTAGGGCAGGTTTATGGAGAACTGCGCGCGCCCTGAAAATGAATATAATGTGCTATAAATAATACTGGGTTCCAGCTGACAGACTCCGTCTTTCCAAGCCTACTTTTGCGTGCAGAGTCGTGCAGGCTGCGAATTTGGCCGATATACCTCGTCGGGATCTGGATACATAGCTTGATTAGAGTTTGTTTACACTACGTCCATTCCCCGCCTGAATTCCTCGTTTCCTCCGTAATATCACGACTTGCTCATGGGCCTAAGTATTAAAATCTAATTCACAGTTCCTATCTAAGCACACGACGCTTATTGACTTGTACGCCATACAGCTCCTCGTCGCGATGATTCTAATAACATGGTGATCTGCCCGGTGCGTGACCCCGACCCTCAGCCCTTTCGCGCGTAATTATGCTCACTTGGCACGTGGCATGCCCATCCTGTCTTGTTAGTCTTAGTTTAACTGGCAATTATCCGGCTGAGTTCTCGCACCTAGTTGGCGTCTGGCAAGCGTAGCAGGGGGGAGGGAGGTGAGCAGACATGGCCGAAGAGGGGTGGAAACGGGGAGCGGACTGCAGTGCCTCAGCCCTTCGTCGCAGCTCCTCCATTCACATGTTGCGTCAGGTGGAGAGCGCCTCAGTCCACTGAGAGCGCTCGAGGCCGAGGATGCCCCCCTTCTGAGTTGGTGCCCTCTTCTTGAGTGTCACGCTACCGCCGGGCGTTCGACATTCCTCCCTACAGGTTTCGACCATCATCTAAGTTCACTTCACTCCCATTTCGCGCCCGTGCTCATGTCCGTTTCGCACGGGCTCTTTCTTGGCCCGGGACGGGCCCAGGGCCCCTGGTAGCGAATGTCGTACGCCCCAGGTTTGTACCTGCCCTGGGGTTTTTGCTGGTCGTGTGTTTTTAAGCGCACTGATTGGCTGGAGCTCGGACTGGATCTCGGGCTCGGCCTCGTCCTCGGCCTCGGCCTCGACTTGGACTTGGACCCGGACTGGACTCCGAACCCCGCCACCGGGGATGGTTGTATCACCTGGCTCGCTTCGGTTCTGCTCTCGACTCTAGCCGGTCTTTCTCGGTCTCGCTGGCGGCCTGTCGGTCCTGATGCCGGGTCTTTCTTGGTGTTCCGCTGGCGGCCTGTCGTCCTGATCGCGGGGTCTTGTCTCTCGGTCGTCTGCTGGCGGCCTGTCGGTCTGATGTGCGGGTCTTTCTTGGTGTGTCCGCTGGCGGCCTGTCGGTCCTGATGCGCGGGTCTTTCTCGGTCGTCTGCTGCGGCCTGTCGGTCCTGATGCGCGGTCTTTCTTGGTTCCGCTGGGCGGCCTGTCGGTTCCTGATGCGCGGTCTTTCTCGGTCGTCTGCTGGCGGCCTGTCGGTCCTGATGCGCGGGTCTTTCTTGGTCTTCCTCTGGCGGCCTGTCGGTCCTGATGTGCGGGTCTTTCTCTTCGGTTCGTGCTGGCGGTCTATCGGTCCCGGTCCGGCATGGGACGCGTCTCCTCGTCGAATGCCCCGCTTCCCCGGCTGCCCCTGCTCCGGACGCGCTTTGGGCGCTTGGGGCGTGGGCGCAATGATCCCAGCCACGTGCTGCGCTTCAGCCAGGCGGTCTCGCCGTATGATCTGTTTTCGGTCGGGCTCGCAGCTGCCCCACCGGCGCAGCCTGTGCGGTCAGACGCCTGCCGGTCGGCTGACCCGCCTGCCCCACCGGCGCGGCCTGTGCGGTCAGACGCCTGCCCGGTCGGCTGACCCGCAGCTGCCCCACCGGCGCGGCCTGTGCGTGCAGACGCCTGCCCGGTCGGCTGACCCTCAGCTGCCCCACCGGCGCGGCCTGTGCGTGCCTGCCCGGTTGGCTGACCCGCAGCTGCCCCACCGGCGCGGCCTGTGCGTGCAGACGCCTTTCCCGGCCGGCTGACCCGCAGCTGGCTTTTCATGTTTCATATGACGACCCGGCTGCCTTGTAAAGTAGGAAAGAATTGCAAACAGAGGGGAAGAGTGGGATGCGGTAGAAACGATTTTTAAAAGATAAAACAATAAATACGTGCGGTATTTGTCAAATGTGACCTAATGTGGCTTTGTAATATAGTGCAGATGTGTCTTTCATATGCATACAGAAGCCCCAGCCGGGTCTTTAAGTCGGTGATGGCCCAGACTGCGTTGGTTCTGGTGATACAGAATGCAGAAAGGATGCAATTACTTGGGTATAGGCACTGCAAAGAAAAAACGCACACACTTCGATATATTTGGTGTGCTGAGGTGGTGATGGACTCAGACATTCCGTCTGCTCCATTTCGTAAACAGCTTTCATTCCAACGTACCTCAGGGGCTGAGGCCACCCAAAAATCATTTTCAGTGAAATATGTAGCATATCGCGGCTGAATCTTGCTGATCGAACTCATCTGTAGATACTCCTCTCGCTTTTCACTTTGAAAACTTCTTTTGGTCACAAATTGTATTCTTGCGCTGCAAAAGGTCTGCAGATATGGAATTTAACATTGGTGGGAAAGGAGTCGTGTGCCACAACGTGGTAGTTTTGTCATGACAATGCTACAGGTCATACTGTTGTGACCGTAGGCTAGGCACAGAAGTAGCGGTATTTCATATTTATGGCTTTCCTGGGGAGGAAAAGAGGCTCTTCAGAACCACTGTGCCGACCACTTCTCCGGGTTTTTCCTAGGATAACAAAATGTGATTTTGACTAGTTCCCAAACGGATTTGATTGCATTCTGAAACAACATATCTTTGTCCGGGTTCGGTGCTTGCCGGTGCAAACGAGATCCAGATTATGTGCGGTTGACTTTTTGAGCAAATGGGATTGTTCAGTTTATACGGCACCATGGCAGCACTGGTATTGCAATACATGGTATTGCAACTTCCCAAATGGTTGGGTGCATGTGCCTCTCACGTCGCTAAATCGGGCGGGTGGAACCTCAGTACCGGAGGTTGGGGTGTTACGGTCAGCACGCGTAACCAATGCACGCTGGATCCACGTGCACAAAATGTCCATCTTAGGGAGCTCAGTGGTTGATGTCTTAGACTTCAGACGTCGGTGGTATGACGATGTTGGAATCAGAGAGCGCGCAGGTACGTTGATGTTGACCGCACTGCGGTGGGCGAGTGCATGGCACGGTGCCGTCCCCTCAGAGCAGTCTTTGGGGTCAGCAGTCAAAGTACTTGTGCACCAGGGCTATTGGCGGGGACGCCATGGGTGGTCAAGATACCGGGGACCATCTCTGGGTCCGGTGCTCCGCCTTCCTCCGCCCCCCCCCCCTTCCCCCCTCCCCCCTCCAGTCCCTGAAGGCGGTGCTATCTTTTTCAGCGGTTCGGAGAGCCGAAATTCTCTTTACCTCGCCACTTTGGACACAACAAACCATTGGTTGTCCCCCCCCCCCCCCTCCCCCCCCCCAGTCATCACATTCTGTGAACGCCCGTGACCATCAGTCCAGATCACCAGGGGCATCAGTATGGCAGAGCCCTGCACCGCTCGTCCTGAGCCCTGCCGCCAGGGGCGTCTTCCAGTGCCCGATGAAGCCGGCTCCACCAGAGCGGCGGTCCTGGGGCGCGTCGGTCATGACTCGGTTAGGACGGTCACGCGCCTCTCCTACGCGCCGTCACGAGTCCTGCTGACCTCAGCCAGCCGGCCGGCCGCCGGGAGTGCGTTCCAATGCCCGACGAAGCCGGCTCACCACAGCGGCAGACCTGGGGCGCGTCGGTCGTGACTCGGTCAGGGCGGTTACGCGCCTCTCCTACGTGCTGTATGGAGTCCCGCTGAACTCAGCCAGCCAGCCCGCCGGCCGCAAGGGTCGCAGCAGCAGCGCGTTGAATGTGACGTGCGATGCAGAGCGGCGCGACAGTCGGTGGGGGGTCACGACCTCGGCCGTGTCCCGACCGGGGCATGAGACGTGAACGGCCTACTGAGATTGGCGAGGGGCGCGGTCTCCGCTGAGCGCGCTCCCCCCGGTGAGAGTGGACGGTGGATTGGCTTTGCAGGTGTTCGCCGGGCGGTTATTGTCAAGTGTCAACGAGGCCAAAGGTCGCTCCTCAAGGTTCCGGCCGCGGTCGTGGTGAATTCGTTTTGGTATGGGATGGAGCGTGTGGCCTGAGTTCGTCCAGTTAAAGCGTGGGCTGCGAGTAGCCTGTCATGCTTCTCTTGTGCCGTCGAGGATTGCCCGGGAAACGAGCCACTGAAAACTGCCCGGAGACGCGGCTGGGCTAGACGTGACGACGTTGGGATAACCTGGTGCGAAGAGCTTGTACCGTTCTTTTCCAGCATGAAGTTGAAAGTTCCGGCTAGTCTTGGCATTTTTTGCGCCCGACGGCATGCCTCATGAGTTGACCTGCGTGTTATGTGTTACCGGGGACCAAAGTATCGCGCCGCGTTGGCTGCCACGTAGCCCCGCTGTGCGGCTTCTTTAGCTGGTCACATTCGCGAACGCGTGACTACTGTGCAATGTCAATGCCTCGTTTTACCCCTCAACAGGTGTTTTGGAGTGACTTATTGTGTCATATGCCCCCTAATTTGACCACTTTATCCTTCAAACAACCTCGGAGGCGCGTGATTGCTCCACACTGTTTTATTGTTCGGCCACTTCGGCGATAGGTGTGCCGTTATTTTATCCTATAGCATCCCGGCTCAGGGTTCACGACCTGTTCGCTGCCTAACCCGACGGCGGCCAACCCAGCATCCAGGCGCATCGAGGTCGGCAAATGGGCCGCGCAGGTCAAGCTTGCGTTCCCCATCGGCAAAGTACCTGCCTGAAGTTACTACATGTGACATCACACGTGCTTCAGTCACATACGGGCCGCCATACTCCGAGCCGTAGGCACTGTTGTGACGCACTTACCTGTGACGTCACAAGTACCTAAGTCACATACGGGCGGCCATACTCCGAGCCGTAGGCACTGTTGTGACGCACTGACCTGTGACGTCGAGGTTGCAAGTTGTGTGCGGCGTTTGGCAATGGGGAACGCAGTCCAGCTGCCAGGGTTTGGGGTCAGAGGCCAGTGGACTAGCAACCGACGAATTGTGCGTACGGAGGCCGCTAGAGAGTCAGAATTTTAGTGGCATATATACCTCATGTCCTGCACACCCTGCTGGTTGGAGTTCGTGGCGCTGTTCCAAGACGTTTGTCAATGACCAAGGACATCTGACGCATATGATCGATGAAGGGATTGGCAGATTAATTACCTATTGAGATCAGCGTTCCTTCGAGCTGAGGGCGTCCGCTCTGGTTGCACGTGCCAGCGCTACACGTCCGTCTCTGCACTGTATTACGTGCCTCGCGTTGCAGCGAAATCAGGTCCCAAAGGTACCCTGTTGAGTCCTCCAAGAGAGGGGCGTTGAATAGAGGTAACCTTGCTTCCCCATCACGCGGCATGCATCAAGCCCTCCGGTCTTGTAGTGACTGCAAGAGTTTCTCGCTGTTCCAGTGGCGGGGTGGTCTCTCGCCAGTTTGACGGGCACTGTTGCCGTCATTGATCGCTGTTTCACAAGGATTGACTACTACGGCTCCTGTGTGTGGCCGGCAGGACTGCAAGAGTACATCGAGGCGCTGTCATTCTACTACTACCTGCTGCAAGACCGCCTGATCAGCTGGGCCGAGGCGCAGGCGCACTTGACCTACCCGCGCCCCGCCGCCGCGCAGGCCGGCGCTCGAGGCGCCCCGGCGGACGGCGCCGCCGGCCTCGCCGAGGCGGAGCCACCTGCCGACGCGACGGTGGCGCCGCCGGCGGACACGGAGCCGGCGGTGCCTGACGGCGACAGGCCGGCGGCGGACACGGAGCCGGAGTCGACCGAGCCGGTGAAAACCGTCGTGGCGGAGGCGGGTGAGGCGCCAGCTGACCCTGATGCGGTAAGTCTGCCGTCGTAGTCGCAGTGCTAGTGCTTTCTGCGTTATCAGACGTCCGTACCAGGCGACGCCCGCGGCATGTCGGCGCTCGTGCCGATGCCCGGGGAGCTTGTTGAACATGTGGAAGTGTTGTTAGGGGAAGCGTGGTTATCTCCGTTCGTTTCAATGCACGGAAGAGATAAGCGCATGTTTTTTTCTTACGCTGCAGCCGTGGCGGGGGTAGCTACTCTCCCTAAGCTACTCGAAAACGCAGCGTGCGTAACATATCACCATGTCGCCAACGACGTCATGTTCCGAGCAAACCCAATTACTCGCTTCCAAGTGCTGGTGCCCTGCTAGATGTGACGTGTTGGTTGGGTGCTGTGTGCGCTCGGCGGCCGGCACTGCCCTGACCTGCGGCCGCGCCCGCCCCCGCAGCCGGCCCTGAGCCTGCTGCTGCCCTACCACGAGTACGTGCTGGGCATCGCCGACCTGACCGGGGAGCTGATGCGCAAGTGCATCAGCTCGGTCAGCTCCGGCGAGCTGGATCAGTGCTGGCGGCTGTGCGGCTTCCTGCGCACCATACACGAGGGCTTCATTAACATAGGTCAGCGGCCGATGGGGGCGGCTGGGCCTCGTCAACGGAACTCTCACTGGGCACTGCAGTCGGCTGGGCTTCATCGGCATGCGGCACCGTCGGAGTGGTGACCGGCCGACCTTCGTCAGTATGGGGCAGCAGGGTCAGAAGTGACGGCCTTCTAGCGTGGGACATTGTTTGTGGAGTTTATCCACATGTTTCTATTGTGAACTGATGGCTGTAGCATTATGTTACTGGCACAAGTTTATTGATGGGAAAATGTTGGGAAGATAATGCTTGCATTATGCTGCTAGAGAAGGTCTCACCAAACGGGGCAGAGGGAGGGAGGTGGCTGTCAAACTTGTTGCACTGGGTGGTGCCTGTGGTGGAAGGTGTGTTGCGTCGGCTTGCGCCTCGCAGCACTTTGCTTGGTGTCCTTTCAAACTTAACGAAATACAACGCATCACCCGTCTGCTGTCAGTCAGCCGGCTGCAGCTGCCGTGCCCTCACTGTACCTGTATGTCAACCAAACGGACTGGCCGATGACCGTGCGGTGTCTGCTTCCGCCGCCTGTGAAGCTCTCCCCCGGCCGGGCCCGTGTCTGTCGCCGCCCCGTGCCCACCCCCCGCCGCTCCCGCAGGGCGTGGGTACGTGCCGACGGCCGTGCGGTGTCTGCCTCCGCCGCCTGTGAAGCTCTCCCCCGGCCGGGCCCTGGCTGGCCCGTGTCCGTCGCCGCCCCGTACCCACCTCCGCCGTGCCCGCAGGGAACACGGGACCACGCGAGATCACGCGCAAGCTGAGTACGCTCCGCCAGAGCGTGGCCAAGGTGGAGAACGCCTGCTACCAGCTGAAGGTGCGCGGCGAGGAGATCCCTCGCCACATGCTGGCCGACGTGTTCTCGGCCGGCGACGACTACCCACCGCCGCCGCCCAACGACGACTACGCTGGGAATTAGGCGTCGCCAACTGCTACCCGCCGCCGCAGGACGACTACGCTGGGAACTAGACTGGAGCGGCTACCCATCGCCGCAGGACGACTACACCGGGGACTAGACTGTAGTGGCTACTCGCCGCTGCACAACGACTACGCCGGGGACTAGACTGTAGTGGCTACCCTCCGCTGCACGACGACTACGCCGCGGACTAGACTGTAGCGGCTACCCATCGCCGCAGGACGACTACGCCGGGGACTAGACTGTAGTGGCTACCCGCCGCTGCTGGACGACTACGCCGGGGACTAGACTGTAGCGGCTGTCCATCGCCGCAGGACCACTACGCCGGGGACTAGACTAGCGGCTGCCCACCGCCGCAGGACCACGACGCCGGGGACTAGACTAGCGGCTACCCACCGCCGCAGGACAACTACGCCGGGGACTAGACTGTAGTGGCTACCCGCCGCTGCTGGACGACTACGCCGGGGACTAAACTGTTGCGGCTACCCATCGCCGCAGGACCACTACGCCGGGGACTAGACTAGCGGCTACCCGCCGCTGCAGGACGACTACGCCGGGGACCAGGCTGGATAGGCTACCCGCCGCTGCACGACGGCTACGCCGGGGACTAGACTGTAGTGGCTACCCACCGCTGCAGTACGACTACGCCGGGAGCTAGACTGTAGCGGCTACCCGCCGCCGCAGGACGACTTCGCCGGGGACTAGACAAGCGGCTACCCACCGCCGCAGGACGACTACACCGGGGACTTGACTATAGTGGCTACCGCCGCCGCAGGGATGTCTACGCCGGGGACTAGACTGTGGTGGTCGCCCGCTCGCTGCTGCCAGTGCGTTGGGACTGCCCGCTCCTCGCCCGCGCTAGCCAGTAAGGCTGTGGTGACTGTTCAGCAGAGTACCGCCGAGGTTGCCCCAGGCGTTGTCACGCTTGTGGATACGATCGCGGTGATGGTGCGCCCGGGTATGGCCCGCGCTGTGGTGACTGGACCCTCCAGTGATCACATGCTGCAGTGACGACTCGCCGACAGCGAGCGGCCGAAGAGCCGCTAAGCGGCGGAGCGGTGCCCGCCTGGCGCGCGACTGCCTCGGTGGCTTGTATGCGCTGGCCGCCCGGCGGGGTGAGGGCCGCGCGCCCAGCATCGCGACGCTGGGGAGAAGCGACGGCGCGGCCCGAGCGGAGAGGGGCGGAGCGCGCTGAGCGGCCGTGGTGATTGGTTGACGTGAGTCGAAGCGACCAATCGCGTGTCCCGGCGCGGCCCGGCCATCAGCCGCTTACCCCAAGCATGTGATAGCCTTGCGCGGTCTCACCAGGGGCTGTTCGTTTAGTAGCGTCAGTTTTGTGATCATTTGTTCGGGCACGGGGCGGCCCCGCAGCCGAGCGATGTGTCGTACGGGATCAGGACGCGGCGTCGTCCCGCCTTGTTCAGTTCTGACATCATTTCCGAAGAACTGGATTTGGTCGTGCTGTCAAGTGCCCGAGTGAGTACAGCGGTGCCGCATGTAGTACGGCTTTTTGAAGAGCTCCACTGGCGTGCGAGATTTTGATGGGATAGTGTGATTTGTTGGTTTTGTCGTGTGCTCCTCGCGAAACTTTCTACCGTTTTTTCTCGTATGTGTCGAGCGCGGCTTATTCAATAAAAGTACATTTTACTATTTGTTCAAGTTTTACGTACGATGCAGAAACAGCAGAGAGTGGGCTGCGGCGGGACCGGTTACACAATGTGCAAGCGTAGCTTATTCTGGTAACAGCTCGGCCCATCCGATAGGTGCGCCTACAGTGCGCCTGTTTCGAATCCTGATGAGTAGCCTTCGAACGGCAAGCCTGAACATTTCACATGTGGGTCCGCTGTACAGTCGTTCAGAAGTTTGTGCTTATTCACCAGAGGACGTTTGAATGGCGGATCACCGCGTCGGAACCGAAGTGGAGGGCCTTCACTAGTCATCTAACGGCCCCAGCCATACACCTCACTCTAGATCCACGAGGCAATTGTCTGCAATGTAAACTGGACAGACAGCTTCAGTCAACCTTGGCGGTCGGATCTGGGGTGAGGCGGACTAAAGTCTGAGTCTAATTTTTTAGTCCAAAACACATCGTCGTAAAAGGCCTGCAGCTGGATGGAGCTCTGGACGTAAAAGGCCCGACGCTGGATGGAGTTCTGGACGTAAAAGGCCCGACACTGGATTGAGTTCTGGACGCAGAAGGCCCGACGCTGGACTGAGTTCTGGACGTAAAAGGCCCGACGCTGGATGGAGTTCTGGACGTCAAGCCATTCGACGTTCACTCCGCATTTCGCTTGTACGTGTGAGTATTGTTCAACTGGCGTAGTGCCGAACTGTTAAGGTAATACGGGACATGTTCCCCGTCATTACAGCACTGTTTATAGCTTCTAGAGTAACTATCGAGCATCACGACGTTTCTGCGCGGGCTGAGCCTCCCTAATGGCGTCTACCGCATATTAGAGAGGAGGGAGACAGAGACAGAGAGAGGGGAGGGGTGAAAATTAATATACAAATCAGAGAACAATAATCCTAGAATGAGACGATATATGTATCGCGCGGGGCGGCAGGAAGAGAATGTTCAAGGTTTGTCCAACGCCTCAACGCATTAGTTCAACACTAAGATTCCCGACACAACTCGACGAACTTGTCCATCCGCCCAGAAGGCGAGTTGTGTGTAGTGTGTGAGTGGAATGGCTGGGAGGGTGTCTTAGTGGTTTTGTTGACACTTGTGCTGCGACCATGTAAACTAGCGAGGGTCAGAGAAAAGCCTTACTATTGTGGATCGACCCCTTTATGTGCAACGCAATACAATACAGGGAACGGGAAAAGGAGGGAGGAGGGCTGGCGTGGGATAATAAGGCAATATTTGCTGGTGCGCAGGTTGATTGTGCATCACGTAGAGAGTACTACGCAGCAGCTGAGTGGTCTCCACTTCATGTATCCCGCTGTGACCTCAAATCGGGCCGGAATTCACCTAATCTACAGGAGGCGACGCCGCAGCAATTCGTCTGGAGAGCCCTATCTCGTCTGTTTATCGTTCAACTGCCATGGTCTCCTTCGGCCCATCTCGGAGGCGCGCACAGCTAGCCCTTTGCAAACACTTTATCCCCGTGCTAAGACCAAGACACAGTGATCTTGTGCAACATTGTATTAATCACACCATTGCATGGACGGAATCAGTGTCAATGACGTCACCAGCCCGATGCCCACCGCGGAGCATTTAACAGGGCGGACAAATATAATTGTTTCGGCGGTAGCTACGTACTTGGGATCAGCTGTTTCCAAATTACAGCGCCAATCAACGCTGGCAGCCGCAGCCTCAGCGTCCTCTGCACACCGGCGCATCCTGTCGCACCACGGCCGTTTGACTAGAGTCGGTTCGTGCTGGCGCTAAGATGAGCGCCCGTAAAGCGTCCCGCCTGCATTGTGCGGCACATCGCGGAGGAGGCCACGCACCCGCGTGCGTTGCCGATGGTGCGTGGTCTTCGCCCCGCGGCTAGCAGCCCACGCCGGCCGGTCCCAGCGTCTGGCGGGGCCCGCCGCCGCCCAACCGCCGGCCCGGGCCCCAGCGGTGGCGGGGATCCGCGCAGCCCACCGCCGGCCCGGGCCCCAGCGGGTGGCGGGGCCCGCCGCCGCCCGCGCCGGCCCGGACCACAGCGGTGGGGGGCCCGCCGCGCCCGCCGCCGGCACGGACCCCAGCGGCTGGCGGGGACCGCCGCCGCCGCCGCCGGCCCGATCCCAAGCGGCTGGCGGGGCCCGCCGAAGCCCCCGCCGCCGGCCCGGGCCCGCCTCGTAAGCGGGAGGCGTCGGCGGACCGGAAGCTCGGCGACGACCAGGCCTGCGTGACGGGTCCCCTGGCGAGAGCGAGAGCTGGCCGGTGAGTGGTACGGCCTGTCGACACAGCTGGCCACGTGCCGCTGCAGGAGTTCGTCACGGTGGCTTCGACAGAAAACGCATCGGCAGGAAAACGTTGACGGAGATTCCGCTTCCCGAGAGAACGTCGGCTGAGGTAGGCTGGTGCCGGCAAAACGAAATTCGTGGCCCGAAGCGACCACAAACAGGCGATATTATAACCAAACACTCACTGCGACAACAAAAAAAAAACATTTGATTACCTTGTAGGAGCGCATACAAAATCATTCCAAGGCAATTACACGATAGCTAACGGCTTGTATGCACCACATGAAACAGCAGACACTTCGATTGCTGCAAATGCTAGTGTCTGGCACATCCATAATAACGTAGCATCTAGTGTCTGGCACATCCGTAATAACGTAGCAGACATAAAAAGAAAACTTCACATATATAAACAAACTTACATACTCCCATGTAAAATGGGGATGTAATGTCACCTGCAGCTACGGAAGTAGACCTGCAAAGCCTGACTAGATATTTCATCACACATAAGGCATGCAAGCCGACGATAAATTGACGAAATGCAACATAGATAACACCAAGGTGAGTCGAACTAACAAGAGCATGGCCATCTACTTCAAATGGGTAATGTCTCTAAGTCCGCAGAACTATTTCGGCGAGAACGTAAACAGTCTGTTGACACCTTACTGGTAACCCCGCTGAAGATGCGGCCGGGCAACACGATCGTGTTACAAAGTTCTCAAACACTGACGGCAAACGAACCTAAAAATGGCATTTAGCCGTTTCCGTCATTTAAAACGGATCCCCACAGCTTGCAAACAAGCCCTACATAACTGCACAATGAACGGGAAAGCCACGTGGTGCAATGCCGCATGAAAACGGTGTTGACTCAAGCCTAGCGACGAGTGGGAAGGAAATAGCCGTTGCCGACGGCCGCCGGCGCTGGGAGCGGCGCCGCGCTCCAGCTCCCCAGCCACACCCTACAGCCGTGGCCGATGGCCGCCGGCGACGGGAGCGGCGCCGCGCTCCAGCTCCCCGGCCGCACCGGGAGCGGCGCCGCGCTCCAGCCCCCCAGCCACACCCTACAGCCGTGGCCGACGGCCGCCGGTGCTGGGAGCGGCACCGCGCTCCAGCTCCCCAGCCACACCCTACAGCCGTGGCCGACGGCCGCCGGTGCTGGGAGCGGCACCGCGCTCCAGCTCCTCAGCCACACCCCTATAGCCGTGGCCGACGGCCGCCGGTGCTGGGAGCGGCGCCGCGCTCCAGCTCCCCAGCCAACACCCTACAGCCGTGGCCGACGGCCGCCGGTGCTGGGAGCGGCGCCGCGCTCCAGCTCCTCAGCCACACCCTACATCATTTTGTAGGGCATCTGCGCCTTGGCCGAGGCGGACTTGAGGCGGCCAGAAGGCGCCCGCCGGCCCGCCAGCGACGCACTCGACTGAAAACGGGCGCATCGACAATTAGAGCAGCCATCCGCTTCAGTTGCTAGGGCCCTGAACTCGCCAACGCTCGACTAGACCGCTCACAGGACAGTCAGAAACAAATGCAGTAAGTGACAGAGGTGCGCAGTCAAGAAGCGTGTCTCCACATTACGAGTTCGGAGTGGCTACGACGACAACCACATGTGGACCAGCAGCAGCAGTCTACAAACGCACGCATCACGAGCTGCACGGCAGTGCCAGCTACGGCACCTGACAGTCGACACTAGATAGTGCATCCGGTCTTCCTAGTGTGCGACACGTGGTCCCGCGCTACACGGCGCCTACTGCACTGGCAGCTCGCGCCATGCAGTCGCGCCGCCGCAGCGACGCGGCGGCGCGCGGCGGCACGGACGACGGCTTGCCTTGGGCGTGAGAAGCTCCACAGCCGCCTCCTCGTCGCTCGCCTCGTCCTGCACCTCCGACAGCACCTCCGTGAAGAGCACGTCCCAGACCCACGGCTTGTCTACCTGCAGCCGCGAGATGGAGGCGGCCGTGAGATGGGGCGATGCCGCTGCGTCTTCTCCTCCACTTTGCCCGTTCCGTCGTCCCACGGCCGCGAGCCTTCATCCGCGACCTGCTCGGTGGTCCAGCCTCCGAAACGGACACGATAATGCGTCCAGACTGCCAGACACGTTCCCCGTAAACTACAGCAGTCTCCGACATAGTCTGTTCACATGCCCATCCCCCCCCCCCCCAGAAACTCTCACCCCTGCAATACACTCAGCCTCACATTCCTCGGACGTCTATGGGACTTGGTGTGTAGATACAGTTTCACCGGTCAATTCCCGAGAACAACAGATGGCTCCCCTTAACAAGTGGAACTTCTCATAGTTCCCCCGGCCCGGTCAGTGTTGCCGTCGCCATCGTGTCCGCCTGCCTACCCGCTCGCACCAACACTGCGGGATGGCTGGAGGGCTGGCTGGCCACAGGCCAGGACAGCCCAGATCTCTGAACCATTCGTTACGTCCCAGGGGCCTCAACGACTCCACTAGTAGCCTTCGGTGAGAGGTGCCACCCAGGGACGTAACTCTGACTCCAAAAAGCCGTGCATGTGACTGCGACGAAAACAGCTGGGTGGGTGTGTACATCATGGGCCACATGAGCCGTGAAACCCCGGCATCAGCCCCACCACGCGGACGCGACGGTGGCGCCACCTCGGCTCGTTCACTAGCTCCATGTACTCTCCTGTGACCTTTCCTGTTAATTTCCCGTGACCCAGCAGACGCCCTGCCAAGCTTGCGCCAGCGCGTAGCAGCAGCCGCATGTTGACCTCCACCGACCCCGCGTCTTCACTCGTCCTCTGGCGGCGGCGCCTCACGCCACCGTTCCGGTCCGTCGAGCCGGCGGCGCCCCCGGTAAACACCGGTCGACCCTTGACGCTTCGCACTGCGGTCGGCGGCGCGACACCATCGAACACCAGCTCAAAGAGGAGCTTTTGGCCACTAACAAGGAGCGTCAGCAGACGGCAGCCGACATGGAGGCCCGCTGCGCCGCCATCGAGACCCAGCTGGGCGCGCTCGACGCCAAGCGTGAGCTGCTCGAGACCCAGCTAGCCGCGATGGAGCGCGAGAAGGAGGCGGCATGCGGCCAGCAGCTGGCCGCCCGCCAGTCGGTGCTGGACGGCTTCGACCAGCTCATGGACGCCGAGCTCACCTGCAGCGTCTGTTTCGAGCTCTTCTTCAACGCGCTCACGCTGAACTGCACGCACACGTTTTGCGCGTCGTGCATCAACGACTGGACCAAGCATCGCCCCAGCTGCCCCATCTGCCGCGAGCCAGTGACGTCACGTACGCGCAGTCTCGTGCTGGACAACTTCATCGACGGCATGGTGGCGCGCCTAGGCGGCCAGGCGGCCGAGCACCGCGCCACCGTGCGCCACGAGCGCGAGGCGAGCGCGGCGGCGGCGGCACGGCCGGCGCCAGCAGCGCGCGGAGGTCACGCCGCCAGACGTTGCCAGCAGCACCAGCAGCAGCGCCAGCAGCTGCAGCAGCAACATCGGCACCGGCAACAGCAACAGCAGCAGTGGCGGCGGCGACAACAGCAGCAGCAGCAGCAGGCCAATCGCGGTGGTTTCCGCGGCGCCACGCCGCTCCGGACGCGCGCCACTGCCGCCGCCGCCGGCCGGGCTGGCAGAGGGGCAGCGGCGGCGGCGCGCGGCCGGGCCCGGTCCGCGCAGGCCGGTCGCCAGCCGGCTAATATCAACAACGAAACGCTGGCGGGCGGCGCTGACGGCGGCGCTGACGGCGGCGCTGGCGGCCGGCGCCAATCCCTCCCACCCCATCGTCATCGACGACACAGCCTATTACCTGCAGCACAGGCAGTGGCCTGGCCTGCTGGCGGACCGGCCAGTCCTGACGGCTCGCGGCACTCGGAGCATGACTGGGAGACGGCCAGCGAGCGCTCCGCCGCCGCCAGCCGGACTGAGGCCAACTCCGACTACGACCGCAACTCGGACTCGGCAGACTCGCGCTCGCGGCGTGACTCCGGGTCAGCCGCCGGCGGTGGAGATTGCTCGAACTCGGACGCGACGACGCACGACCTCAGCTCCGACTCGGCGGAGTCGCGCAGCCGCAGTGACTCTGAGTCCGGCGGCGTCGGTCGGGACTCGGACGAGCGGGAGGGCGGCGCCTCGGCCGACAGCGGTACAGTGCGGGGCTCGAACTCGGGCGACGAAGGCCGTCGCGGCGCTGCCAGCGACCTGGACACAGAGGATGGCGCCAGTTCGCAGTCGGCCAGCGCGGGCAGCGAGAACGACAGTGATTTTAGCTTCACCACGTGGGCGCACGACCTGCGCTCGAGCGACTCGGGCAACTCGGACGCCTCCGTGGATGGCACCGGCGCCTACTACGGCGGCTACGGCCGCTACTTCGTGTGCGGCCGGCGCGGCCACTGGGCGCCAGGGTGCCCGTTTCGCTGAGGGGCCGGCGCCGGCGCGCTGACGGCGGACGGGTGCCCGGATATCTCCCGTGGCGGAACTCGAACGATGCAGCGATGCCAGGCTGTTATGGCAAATATGATGCCGCGGGCTGTGTGCTATGGTGCATAGAAGAGATGGCTGTGTTCGTCAAAGTTCTGACTCACGATCTTCAACAGTCCAAAAGAAAAGACGCTATTGGCGGACAATTTGTGGATGGCCTGTTGAAGCGGTGTGGCTACGTTTTCACCCCACCAGCCCGCTGTGCCATCCGTGCTATTTACTGCGTTTTAATGGAAGGTCAAAGTGCACATCGATGAATGAATATTCTGTTCTTATCAGCTTAATATCTGATACGTCCTGATACATTGCTATGGAGCCGGTGCTGCGCACGCTCCGCCAGTCGGACGTGCGCTGCCTGGCCTACGCTGACGATCTGGCGTTGATTCTGCCGTCAGCTGCTGCCGTCGCTCCGGCCCTTCGGGTGCTTGAGGCCGTGTGCGGGTGATGCTCTCTGGAGCTCGACCTGCGCAAGTCAGGCCTGCTGTCGGTGGGAGCCGCTCCGCCCGCCGTGCCACTCAACGGCGCGCCTTTGCCGGTGGTGGAACGCGCGTGCTCGTACCGATACCTGGGCCGTCTGGTGGGCCACACCCGGCTCTCGGAACCGCCCCTGGACGTGCTCACTGCCACCCGACGCGATGCGTTCCGCCTTCTGGACAGCGCCCTGGCGCCCTGGCAGAAGCTTGACGCCGTGCGCACGTTCATCGTGCCGCGGCTGACGCACTGCCTGCGCCTGGGCGTGCTGCCCAAGACGCCCCTGCGTGCCTTTGACAAGGCGCTGCGGTGGCGCGTCAAGGGTGTGCTGGGCGTGCCGTTGAGTGCCACCATCGGCTACCTGTACGCGCCGTCGTCCACGGGCGGCGTCGGCCTGACGGAGTTGGGCAGCGAGGCCGATGTACTTCTCCTGGCCGCCAGCGTGCAGCTGCTGCGCTCGCGTGACCCGCTGGTCGCCGAGCTGGCCGCCGCCGAGCTCACCCGCGTCGTCAGCCGCAGGGTCGGCCGGCCGCCGACGCCGGCCGACATGGCCGCCTACTTGAATGGCGAGCGCATGCGCGACGGCGGTGATGTCTCGTCGCGGTTCAGCCGCGCGCGTGTCGCCACCCGGGCCCTCGCCTCGTCTGTGCCCGTGGCGTGGCACGCCGCCCATCCCGTCCCGGAGCTGCGCGTCGGCCCCACCCCGGTGGAGGCGCGCGGCGAAAGCAAGGCGCTCCGCAACGCTCTGCGGATGCGGGCTTTGAGCGACCTGGTCGCCAAGCCCCATCAGGGACGGGTGATGGAGCGTGTGGCGTCTCAGCCGGTGAGCTCCCATTATGTTTATAACGGGAGCTTCACCCGGTTTGCCGAGTGGCGGTTTGTGCACCGTGCTCGGCTCGGTCTCGTGCCCCTCAACGGGTACCGTCGCGGCGCCGGTGATCGGCGCTGTCGACGCTGTGGCTATGCCAAGGAGACTCTGCCGCACGTGCTGAACCACTGCCGGCCCCACAGCGCGGCGCTGCAGCGGCGTCACAACGCCATCCTGGCGCGCCAGGAGAGGGCCGTGCCTCGGTTTGCCGGCACCGACGTGCGGGTGAACCGCCGTGTGCCCGGAACCGAGTCGGCCCTTCGGCCTGGCCTGGTGGTCACCCGTGGCGCCCACGTATCTCTTGTGGACGTCACAGTCTCGTTTGAGAACCGGCTGGCTGCCCTGCGAGCCGCCGGCGACAAGAAGGTGGCCAAGTACGCGGGCCTGGTGGCCGAGCTCCGACGCCAGGGCAGGGATGCCTCCGTGCATGCCCTGGTGATTGGCTCGCTCGGCACCTGGTACCGCGGCAACGAGGAGACGCTGCGCCACCTGCGTGTCAGCCGGGTGTACGCCCGACTGATGCGTAAGCTCATGGTGAGCGACACCCTGCGGTGGTCCCGGGACATGTACGTGGAGCACGTCACCGGGGTCCGCCAATACCAGTGATCAGTGGCCACCGCACGTGGCCGCTGTGACGTCAGGGTGCCCGCCTTCACCGCCTCCACCATCGCGGCGTCCTCCTCAGCGGCGTCGCTCTCCGTCTCGGGGCGTCACGGGTTGCCCCCCGCCTGCCGGCTGCTGAGCCGCCGGGCCGCCGCAGCTACCAATGGGCCGCCGGCCGGCCTGCCGCCCCTCCCCGTCCCCCAGTGTTTTGTAGCCCCCCGCCCCTCCCCTTGGCTGGCCGGCCGGCTGTGGGTTTCCCCTCCCCTGCCCATGTCCCTGTGCCGTGTGTGACCACGGCCGTCCCGTCTGGCGGCAGTTTTGCTTGGGCCGCTGCTGTACCATGATCAGCGGCCCCCGGCTGGCGCTGCGTTTCGGGGCGGCGCAGGTTTGGCGACCTGTCCGCGGCCGGCTCGCCTGGCCGCGGTGGGGTCGCCGACGGCATACCGTCCCTTTGCTGCTGCGATCCTGTAATCCTTGTCGGCGCGGGGCGTTCGCCGTGTGCCTGGGCGGTATCACCGCGCGGTGTGTTCTTGTGTGGCTGCATCAATGCAGTTGAACGGGGCCGGATGCGGCCCCCGCCGACGGCCTGCCCCACCCCTGCCCACCATGGGGAGGGAGGTGAGCCAGCGTCCCACCCCACTGGCGGCACGCTGTGCCATGCCGTGGGGTTGAGCATATATTGTGAGTCTGTTAAACATCGTGTCGCGTGTAAATGCGCTTCAGGGTCTGGAGCGCATGCGTTTTTCTTTCTCCAATATTCCTTGTTATTAAACATGTACTATGATGAATAAAAAACTCTGTTCTTATCAGCTTAATATCTGATGCGTCCCCTACATGGGGACCAGAATATTAAACTGATTTTTGAAATTTGGCGGGGTTTCTGGAGCTTGCTCCTGCCCTACCGCGGGTTGGCCTGGCATTGCACTACAGTCAGGATCGGCCCACCTAAAATACGGTTGAAAAGGAATTATATATATATATATATATATATATATATATATATATATATATATATATATATATATGTATATATCTGTGTGTGTGTGCGTGCGTGCGTGCGTGCGTGCGTGCGTGCGTGCGTGCGTGCGTGCGTGGGTGCGTGGGTGCGTGCGTGCGTGCGTGCGTGCGTGCGTGCGTGCGTGCGTGCGTGCGTGTGTGTGTGTGTGTGTGTGTGTTGTGTGTGTGTGTGGAGGTAAATTTGCCCCCCCCCTCGTAACCTTTTCCAGAATAATTCCCAAACAGCGCGGCGTTGCCTCGTCAGGTCTTGCATAGCTGTAGACAATTGAATAGCAGATCTTTTTATGTAAAAAAAAATTCAGATGCTCCTTTTGATCGCAGGTCAAAGTCAGGCCATGGATTCAGTGACGGCAATTTGTGAGGGAATCGCTGAAGCAGATGCAACAACGGAGTGCTAGACGAGGCCGTCCATCTCTGAGATAGTTTCTTACGCAACACAACGATTGAATTAACAAATTGCATTGATCTGGGTCAGGTATGAAGGTAAGACCTAGGTCAAAGCCACCCCGTTTTTTTACTCAAGAGCTTGCTGAGTGGGGCAGTTTCCGGTGCTCATTTTGAATTCATTAAAAACACGGACCGCATTACACATCCTCACCGCAGTTCCTAGTAGGCCAGATTCAGTCACTGACCTGAAAGGGCCCAGGTTAACATGTTGGTTTAGGAGCATACCACTTAGCGTCATTGCTGGGGCTTATCCAAATGCAACCACCAAAGGAGTCTTGTATGACTGATCAAAATGACCTTCTTAAGATCAAACAAGATCACTAGCCTTGAATGAGAACCAGTAAAGTTACGCTTAGAACAGTTAAACTGAGTTCAAGCACAGACATCCCATGAATTTGGTGTCTCTAGCTAACGATGTCCCACAGCCCCCGACTACTCCTACTGACCTGTGCTCTGTATGAAGGACCCGGGAACTACAACCCGATTAACCTGATGTTACAGATGCCTCGCTCTTTCGTGCCGTCTCTTTACATTAGCGTGTGAAATTCCATCCGCACACCAAGTTTGGTGAAATCCACGTAGTCCGAAATATCCACTCACCATCGAATACAAATGCGTTGCTGGCTTGACGAGTGTCGACTCCCCAGGCCCACCTATCGCGAACCAGTCTCCTGTCTCCGACACAGCGCCTCCCGCGCCCGAAGTGTCTGGCACACACCTCCTGTACGTCGGCCAGCTCGGACAGCCTGTTGGTCAGCAGCTGCAGGTCAATGTCCTCCAAAGCCATGAACGTCGGGTGCTTGAACAGGTCATCGTTCAGCTCCTGCATGGTGACCACCCGGTTGACCCGTGACCTGTCGGCACCGCCGCCAGAGCGCGCTGTGATCGGGCGCCGGTGACAAGAGGCCGCGGCGCTGGCGACACTAACAAAGAGCACTGATTACACTAACAAAGAGCACCGATTACACCGTCAGCCGCACGACGCTGGAGATGAACGGCACGAAATGGAGACCGATACGACACAAAACTCCACGAGTATCGACAAACATGGAGACGAGGACGTGCTGGCCTGGCTCATACTCAGCCCAACTTTCGGTAGGCCAACAAAAACCACATCATCAAACTTAAGGTCTGTGATCGTCATTGAATGAAGCCAAATCGTAATACAGCCGCCCGTGGGAACTGCACACACATAGCCCCCCCCCCCCCCTCCCCCCCCCGGCCCCGGCCTTCACGCATACACCCGTATATGCGTTACATCATTCGCGAGCGACGACTTCTGTGGAGCGGCTGGCATGGCACGGATCGCTTCCTGCTCTGCCCTTCCACCACACGCAGTGGGTTACCTTAGTCATGCAGGCGTGCCAGGAGTACAGGGGCGGGGTGCTCACATGGGGGCGGCGGCCACCTGCAGAGCCAGATCCTCCTCTTGTACCACCTCCAGGTCGGGGATCATGGGTATCACCGCGTTGTCGTCGTCCTCCCACGAGCTCACCCGCGGCGGCGACTTCGGCACCGCCGCCGTGGCGCTGTGCGGCGGGTGGCGCAGTCAGCAGGTGATACAGTCGCGCATCACCCGTGTGACAAACGGGGTTCAAGCTTGCGCACGGACGTGGAGAGGTGACGTCATTAACCGCGTACAGTGACTGCTTTGCGGACGTGCTGTCGGGAATGAGAATGACAGCACGAAAGGCGTCGGACGCCAATGGCTTTGATGACATGTGTTGGGCCACTTAACTCGACATTTTACATCCTACAGCAACAGAACCGCATCAAAACAATATGTTCGCAATGTGTGAGTTCGGAAACGCAACTGCAAAAAACGCAAGAACTAAATGAACGAATGAATGAATGAATGAATGAATGAATGGAGCTAAACACAATAAACCAAATGGGCCGATCTCATCCCTTTGCATGCAAATTTATCCTCGCCTTGTAGAGTTCACCCTAGGTCGCTTGTTTTTACCCCGGGTCATGGCGTTGGCATTTGTACTAGTTCCATTAATCCTAAACACAACGGTCAAAACTACTTTCGCACATCCCAAAAACCTTTTGGATGGAGCCTTTTGCCAAAAAGCACACTTTTATTTTAAGTAACTTTCCCAATGAGTTTTTGGGACGTTTCATAACTCTCCAGGCATGTAAGGATACATAGCATGAAACAAGGCATGTAACGATCCCGTAGTAATTTTGTCCTCGAAAAATAGTTTTGCCACAAACACGTTTCAAGGGTACGACGTTTCGCGACACCATGCACTACTGTATCGTACAAAATTGTTATCGAAATTGTTAATGCCAGCTCTGGAGCGCAGACAAAGTGCTGATCGTGGTGAAACGCTGTTGCGGTGAGGCGGCCTCCGGAAAATGGCCGTGCCTTCACGCATACCCAGTTCTGAAGTCTGACCCACTTTCGCTGACCGATTTCACGCGGCCGAGGCTTTCTGCCAGTGGCTGACACGGATACGAGTGCTGGCCGGTGGGGGTAGCCCCGCTCACACCTCCGAGCGAGCCTCAGGTTTGTAGATTGGAGGGTCGGGCACTCTAAGCCGCGGCCTCGTCGGACGGTACTCCAGGTAATCCTCTCCCCAGCTAAATTAATGCTGTGAGCGCCCAGGTGCCGGTACCACAGAAGTCCTGACAGCAGTCTTGAACTTGTTGGACGTTGCTTAAACTCACAGGTGCGAGGTACCGGTGAGCACGCTCAAGACCGCCTCACAGTAAATTCAGAGGATCTTACTCTCAGGGGTTTGATGTGCGTGTGTGCGATCATCCTTGACATTCTACTGTGATCTTTATCTACTCTCACCAATAAATGTTGCGTTGAATGAAATTTTTACCCCGCAGGGTACCGGACTGATCCACGGTGAATGCTGAGTGACCTAATGCTGATAAACACATTTTACATTCCACGTATTTTTGACCGATTTCTGACTAGCTGGGCACTTCAAAAAGTTGCATCGCTCAGACGTTGCGCCGGTTCTTTATCCATGACAGGTTTTTTTACAAGAATAGAATATGACGTATATTACGGGAAATACATTGTATCACATCGAGGTTGTTTTCCAAAGCGTTACGGTGAAACGCGAGCTTGAAAAGCGTCAACTTTAGCAAACACCACTCGCTGCCTATCGCTTTCAGCACCAACATGTTTCCATGTCATTTAGAAACTACGAAGCTGTTACAACGTGCCAAGTTTTGGGATTTTAGGGAAAACTAGTGCCAGGAGTGTTCATCAAACTATGCACTTTCCCTATGAGAATGGGCATAAGAAAAACACCTAATACTTCCGGGAATACAACCACCTTTTGTATCTGTTACGAAAGAGCTGAGATACCGTTCACAAACATACCCTTTGTAAAGTTCTGCAACAAATATTGAGCCCCCAGCGTCAATGAACCTTTAGGCCCCAGTTGGCATGTGGCATACGGAACAGCTTAAGGTTACAAGGAGCTGATTGGTCAGTTCTTGGGGGCACAGTCGTCATTTCTTAACAAAGCAGCCTCCCTACGACTGAGAGCAAGGTGGGCATTATAAAAGAGGTTTGTCCTTTGCCCGGGACAAAAACTTAGGAACGAATAATTTGTCAGCGACAAATAATGGGTCATCGTGAGACCCAAGTGGTAAAAAATGTAATTTGCGGGAGGATTTCACCATATACATCCTTTTTGTTATATATTTATCTTTAGACGACAATTATAATGGTGAAGTCAGTCCAGGATTAGATACCATATTCAACGAGAAAAAATGGAAAGGTCGTTTTGACCAACTTCCTTAAAACGGTATGTCTAAAAAGCAAGATACCTAAGTTAGAATATTCTAGACTTTTGTATGCGCGTTTGCGAGACAAAGATTTCACTGATATATACTGAACCTGAAACAGTAATGCATTTGTGGAATTTAGGAAAACTCAACCTGACCTGAAATCGGGAAAACTTTGGCCCATTTGATTATAAAAAGGGAGAAAAGGCCCATTTGTTTAAGCCTAACATAACACCAGCCAATATTCAGACGCGGCACACCCCACCTCTTGGGTTCTATTGCGCCACTACGCCCATTCTTTCATTCATTTCATCCACTGGTATCATTTCCAATGTCCGTTTCTATTTCATTCATGATCCGCCTTACTGCACTGAAACATTTTATGGAATACAATGCGGTATTTCCGGCCTTGAAGTCCGAGCAAATGTCGCCCCGCACTCCAATGACAGCCCGGTGTGTTGCTTCACCCCAGTACCGGTCTGCGGTGTGATGCTACATATCAGCCCCGGCCTCCGGTGCGCTGCTACACCCCAGCCTCGGCCACCGGTGCGCTGCTACACCCCAGCCTCAGCCTCCGGTGCGCTGCTACACCCCAGCCCCGGCCTCCGGTGCGCTGCTACACCCCAGCCTCAGCCTCCGGTGCGCTGCTACACCCCAGCCCCGGCCTCCGGTGTGCTGCTACACCCCAGCCACGGCTTCTGGTGCGCTGCTACACCCCAGCCTCAGCCTCCGGTGCGCTGCTACATCCCAGCCCCGGCCTCCGGTGTGCTGCTACACCCCAGCCCCGGCCTCCGGCGCGCTGCTACACCCCAGCCTCGGCCTCCGGTGTGCTGCTACACCCCAGTCTCGGCCTCCGGTGCGCTGCTACATTCTAGCCCCCTTTCCAGTACCTCTTTGCAGAACTGTCGAAGTCGGCGCGCTGGCGGCGGCCGATCGGCGGTCCAGGCGCCGGCGGCGGCGAGCCGGGCGGAGCACCCTCGCCCCAGCCGGTCAGATCGGGCCGCGCACGCGGCGGTCCTGAGGTGACGGGTCGCGCCGCTGCCGGCGCCAGGTAGCTGGTGCGTGGCCGGCTCTGCGGGCTGCTCAGGATGTCGTCCAGGTCGTCCAGAGGGTCAGTCATGGTGCTGCTGGTGGCTGCAGGATGGCAAACCAAAAGATCTTGTGAAGCCCAGTGCTACTAGAGAGTGATGTTAGGCTTTCTCTGGGGAGCACACTGTATTTTCCTTGGTATAGTCCCTGGAGACAGTGCATGATTGGCAGGTTTATAATATCAGCCAGAGAATAATGTACATAGCCAACTGTTGATACCTGATGCATTGTCATCAGTATCAAGACCCAGAATGATTACAAACCAATTTTCCCAATGATAGTACATTGGTCTGCTGACATCTGACAAAGAACTGCAGGTATGATCTCTTTTACAAAAATGTGTCTGGTGTCAATGCCTTCAAAGCAAAGTAACTTAACAAAACTGCAATGTCACTTGCCATTGGATCCCATAGATATGCAAAATAAAATAATGTGATGAATTCAAATACCACCTGCCATTGCATACTAAATAAACTGGCTTTGAGCATCCTGCATTGTTCATTGCCATCACTAAATGAATGATGTCAAGCAAAATAATTTGGAATCTTGATTGGTAGCTGTGTGAACATCAATATTTCTTTAGCAATAATTTTCCCTTAATTCACAATTTCTTTAAAATTATTTGGATCTATTCACATCACAACTTCATTTTATTGATGACTTGCATAATAAATGTTGATTTATAGCTTATCTGTAAATATTTTACACTGGATTGGATAAGTAATTTCACACTGTGAAAAACTTATTGGAAGGATTCTACCACTTGATGCTCATTCCTATGAACATTCAAAACACATTATCTGAATGACTGCAGTAGGTCCTATTTACTCTGATTGATGCCTTAGGGTTAGGTTTAAGCCACTCCAGGTGTTCTCAATTTGCTGGGCTGATGAGATGGCCTGCGGCTGATGGTAGCTGCCATGCAAAAAGTCAGATGATATCATAAGCAAAGACAGATAGTGTAGAGCATTGTATTACAATGAGCTTTTGCCACAGAAATATGCTGTTTACCTGGACTAGCATGGTTAAATGATGCAGTAAGGGCTAAGACAGCAAGCACTGCTATGCATGGTTGCTCGTGTCAGAAATGCAGGATAGGGTTCAACCTACACCTTGGCTACCATAGTCATAATCTGTTTTCCATGAGTTAATATGAAACTTATTTATATGAAAGAAACATTTCATAAGGAGGGAATGTGAAACACATCCCTTTGAGATTAAGTCTGGACCATCATTCAGATTTCAGAACTTTTGTTGGACTGTTCTTTCCAAAAAGCATTGTCAGTCAATTTTACTTCAGCAATAAGGCACATGCTATCATTTCATACCTTTTAGAAGTGTACCAATCTCTGACAGTAATAGCAAGGAGCAGCCTGGGCACGATGATGGTGTGGTGGGTTTCGTAACCACGGTCCTCTGCCGCCGTTTGAGAAAGGCAGGAAGCACTGGGAATCTATGCACAAACACAGCGTGAGTTGTGAACACTGACAGACACCGATGTTAGATGTGACGAATATGTACTCGAAATGCATTCGAATCACCCATTCGCAGTGCTTAGAAGACATACCTTGGATTGCTCCGCTTTGAACAGCAACGGAATGCAGCAATTTCTGAATCCTGCAATTACCGCCTGAGAATGCGTGACGTGAAGTGGTTTATTTTGTATCATGTGCGGCAGGATGATGTCCCGAGGTGTACACCATATTTACTTTGCGTTATCCTAAAAATGTAATTCAGTAAGTTCTTGTGTGAATGGACGGGAATCCGCAGTTTTCATTTTCCTCCCATTTTCCAGTTAAATGACATATTTGGAAGATTTTTGAAGTCATACATATAACACAACTTTACATTGATATATATTATTTTATTCATGTCAACCGCATTCTTATATGGCTGCGCGCATACACCCCCCAAAACGGAGGGCGGTTACGCACCGGGCTTATACACCCTCCAAAACAGAGGACGGTTACGCACCGGGCTTATACACCCTCCAACATGGAGCGTAGCTACGCACCGGGCTTATACACCCTCCAAAAATTTTCAGATGGTTGTATGTGTCAAGCATACGCGAATGCCAGCCTCAGAGGGAAGCAAGTGCACACGAGCAGAATTCCGTGCGAAAAGTCGGCTCTATGCGTGATAGGCATCAAACAATCGCGAAATCCGTCAACCCACTTTTAACCAGCCATATTCTGATCAATAGTTGCTCAGGGGCCCTTTCCATGGGTAACAGTTAACCTACCAACACACTTGCGGTATGCCCATGGGTCCTCTTCATTGGTTTGAGGCATTTCCAATTCTCTGTCACTTGCTTAGGGTCCTACATTCTTGTCGGGGGTCCATCTGATGCATAGGCGGATCCCTGGAGGGGCACGGGGCCATGGCCCCCCAAAACCTCTGAGAGTATGTCTTGCCCCCCCCCAAAAAAAAACATTCCCAGAACTTTATAAAAGTTTCGTCTACTTAACACCTGTTTTAACTTCAACTGTTTTAACTGTTTTGTTTTAACTTCTGTTTAAGATTCAAAAGCATTTCGGTGTTTTTTTCGGTTTTGAATGGTGTCCCCACTAGGTACTCGCGACAGGCACCATGCACTGGACCTCGGATCCCACACCAGCCAGCCGGCGACGAACGGTTGCCCCCCCCCCCAAAAAAAACTCCAGGCTAGATCCGCCACTGATCTGATGGCCTGCTTGGCCACACTGAGTCGTTCGGGGACCCTCTACACTGGGTTTTTTGGTGCCTCTGTTTTGAATGGGGGTCCCTACGCTTCTGTGGGGAGGGGGCTACCTGATAACCCCCTCGGGCACATTCGATCGTTCGCGGGGGGCCTATGTTGGGCCTTGGACACGTGCTATTTGAATGGGCCCTACGCACTTGTCGGGGGCCCCTTCTGTTTGCCTCCTCGGTCACACTGGATTGCTGGTGGGCCTGCATATTGGTTCTTGGTGTTCGAATTTAGGGCCTTCTGCCCCTACCGGAGCCATCTGATAACATGTTTGGGTACACTCCATCTTTCAGGGCCCTCCGCACAGGATTTTAGGTACTCCTTAACTGAATGAAGGGCCTTAAGCTCCTGTCGGGGCCCCCATCTGATACGACGCCCGGGCCCATTCGATCGTGGGGGACCTCTACGTCTGGTTTTGGGTACTTCCTTTTCTAATGGAGTGCCCTCCGCTCTTTTAAGAGACCCTATCTATTAACCTGCTCTGGCGCACTTGGCTATTCGGGGCCCTCTACATCGTGTCGTGGATAATTCATATCTTAACGGAAGGCCCTACGTTCTTGCTGGAGCCCCATCTGTTAACCTATTCGGGCGCACTCGAACATCGGGGCCCTCCACATTGTGTCTTGGGTACTTCCTATCTGAATGGAGGCACTTACGCACTTGTCGGGGACCCCATCTGTTCGCCGCTTCGGCCACACTGGTTTGTTCGGGGCCCCATATATTGGGTCTTAGGGTTTATATTTAGGGTCCTACTCTCCTGTCTGGGTCACCTGATGATCTGCTCGGGTATACTCCATCTTTCGGGGCCCTCCGCACTGGGTTTTGGGTATTCTTATTTGATTGAAGGGTCCTGCACTCTTGTCGGGCTCCTTCTGATACGCTATTCGAGCACGTTCCATCATTCTGGGGCCATTTATTTAGGATCCCCAGTGCTCCCCATTCAAATGGAGGGCCTTGCGCTGTTGTTGGGAGCCCTATTTGTTAACCTGCTCGGACACACTTGATCATTCGGGGGCCCTTTACATTGCGTCTTGCGTATTTCCTATTTGAATGGAGGGCGCTACGCTTTTGACCGGGCCCTATATGTTTGCTTGCTCTAATACACTGGATCATTCGAGGGTTCTCTGCATTGGGTCTTGAATACTTGCCATTTGAATGGAGGATCCTACGCCCTTTTTGGGAGCCTTGTTTGTTAACCTGCTCGGGCACACTCGATCATCCGGGGGCCCTCTAAATTGGGTCTTGAATACTTCCTGTCTGAATGGAGGCCCCAAACTCTTGACGGGGGCCTTATATGTTAACCTGTTCTGGCGCGCTTGACCGTTCAGAGCCCTACACATTGCGTCGTGAGTATTTGTTATTTGAATGGATGGCCCTATGTTCTTAGCGGGCCCCATTTATTCAGCTGCTCGGGCCGGTGGTGGATGCAGATGGTGGAGGCGGGGGGGGGGGGGGTCACAGGACCATGTCCCATGGACCATGCTGAGGAAACCTAAAGGCTCCGAAGGGGCCCATAACCGGCCGGACGGACGCAGTTTCCTTACAACAAAAGCTCAACAAAATTGGATGCCTTTGGGCCTACAGATGACCAAGACCCACTGTTAGCAAAAGTGAAGGGTTCATACGTAAACGAAGTTCATTCTTCGCTGGCTGAGACAATGTTGTTTGGGGTGAAATTTTGGGGCTCATTACGCTGTCTAGAGGCATTACGCTGTTGGCTGCCTGTCCCTTCATGTCCACTTCCCGCGTCGATCTGATCGCTAAGGAGCTTTCCATGTTATCCTCGATCTCTTCCCATTTTTGCGTGGGCCCCAATGTGCTGTTGGGCCGCTATCTGCTTTCATGCCTGAGCAATGTTGATCAATCGGGGTTTCCTTCTCGGATTATTGTCATTCGCCGTAAAGGCTATATACCCTTTTTTCGGGGCCGCATATGCCAAAGTACACTCAGAGGCCCTTCTTATAAATTTCAGGTTCTTTCTACTGGCTTGAAGGGACTTGTGCTGTTGCTAGGGCTCAAATAAGGTAAGGCACGGAGACACTCGATGCTCAGGTGCCCTCTTCTTTTAACCGAAGACTCTCTCCCTTTGGTCTCATCTGCGGCTGACTTTTCAGTCCTATCGATACTCGTGTTGTTAATCTGTCCGTGC